AATTTTAATTCGAAAAATGTTTGATATCAGGTAATGGAGTTAGGAGAAACTAAATAATTTTACATAAACATATTGGTGATTCCATTATCAAAACTGTGAATGCAGGAGGAGAAAAAAGACAGAGATAGTGAAAGGAAAGTAAATGAGTTTTGTTTTGGACAATATCTTAAGTGCCTATAAGACATTTTGAGTCTGCAGATAGGAAGTTGGAAATAAAGACTTTAGGTCTCAGGACAGAGATTAAATCTAGAGCTAGAGATTTAGTATTTATTAGCTACAACAAGTGAAAGCATGAAAATGATGAGATTAACAAGAAATATAAATTTATAAACAGGAAGACAACCATGGACAGAAGCATGTGGAACGCACAGAAAAAGGTGACAGAGTATGGGGGAAATGAGGGTGGGAGGAGAGAGAAAGACAGAGAGAAATGAAGGAAGTAAAAATGGAAGAAAGGCAGTAAGTTGGAGATAAAAAATAGAATGGTACAGTAAAATTAATAAAATTCTGAGACCTAGGGTAGTTGATAGTATCAAATGCTGGTCAACTGTGAGAGAATTATGAAAACTTGTAAATTTGGCAACTAGGAAGCCAATGGTGAACCAAGCAGACCGACAGGAAACAAAAGGCAGATTGAGTAATGATATGAGTTAAGCACGTAAACAAGTTACATATGGACAACCCTCATTTCATAATTCTAAATAAAATTACCTGTGTGAAGCAGACGAAGGTGTACTCAACATATCCTTTATCTTTCGCTTTTTTCTCACATGGTGTTGCTTTACTGTTTTTGGTCTTTTGGGCTGAAGATTTGCTAGTTCCATTAGTTTGTTCATTCTACGTTGAGGAGAGGAATGATAAACAATATTTCCTTATTTAGAAGCAAAGCTATTTACCACTGTTTCTTTTAAACCTAGATTTGAATTTTGGCATATAAATGGACAGATAAAATGATTTATTAGCCTTGTTTGGAATATGGAGTAAGTATAAACTCTAAGCCATCAAGAGATAACCAACTTGACAAAAGTTCAAATTCTAAATTGCCTTGCTCAACTTTCACCTTACTTTAAAGGAAATTAAGAATTTACTTAATTACAACCTATCAATTTTAAAAAATGTTTCATTATAAACAT